TGGGAAGTTATATTCCTTATATGTATAATATGTCAAAATGCATTCTACTGTCATAATGTATAACTAATAAGAAAAGTAACAAAAAGTCCACATGCGGTGATAAAATGGTTTCTGTGGGTTACCTAATTTTGATATAGGGAGAGCATTTCCAGTTAAGCTTTTTTCAGAGTCAAGAAGCCTTATTCAATATGAAGAAGGAGGTAAAGTATTTACTGATTTTTGTTAACTTTCTTATTTTAAAGATGTGTACAAACTCATACAGAAACTTTATTCCAAGCTTTAATAGAAAGCTAGAGACTTATTGATAGAACCATCTGCCAGACTTTAAGTGACAGTACTGTCTGTTTGTGTCATTTACATGAGAGAAATACCTTACAGTTTTGTTTGGGGTTGGAGGATACCAGGAATTGAATTCAGGGGAACTCAACCACTGAGCCACATCCCCGGCCCTATTTTGTATTTTATTTAGAGACAGGGTCTTGCTGAGTTGCTTAGTACCTTGGCTGTTGCTGAGGCTGGCTTTGAACTTGAGATCCTCTTGTCTCAGCCTCCCCAAGCTGCTGGGATTACAGGCGTGTGCCACTATGCCTGGCTCAGTTTTGTTTTTGTTTTGTTTTGTTTAGTTTTGAAAATGTTTCTTAAGAATCAAAATTATTTGCATGTTTTAGATGAACTTGAAGAAATGTTGAATCCTATGGGAACTGTTCAGACAAATCCATATACTGAAAATGCAACAGCTTTACATATTAAATTTCCAGAGAATAAAAAACAACCTTATTATTACCCTCCTTTCGATAAGGTAAGCTAATTATTTAGAGGACCATTGTGCATGAAATAATTTATAGTGTTATTTCCTGGCTCTGTATGTTTGCAGTTTGAGCTCAACATGTCTACTTCGCTTTAAAACTTAACATGAGTTAATGGTTTGGTTCAGTAACAAGGCATGGCAGGGAACCTGCAAGCCCTATGAGTTCTGGTGATATCATTGACCAAGTAAGGCATGGCTTCTGGAGTTCAGATTCCTCAGTTATGAAGTGACAAAATTGTAATTGTTCTGAAATCGTTTTCAATGTAAAAAGGCCATAAATACATTAATATGTAACTGAACACATAAAATGTTCAGTGAAACATATCTAACATGTTGATTCAGAGATTAAAGACAAAATCACTATTGTTTTAGAGTTGATATTCAAACACTGGATTATTTATGTTGAATATTACTATTTGTAGGACTTCTTAAGGTAGCATTTGTATAGAGTCTACATAGGTACTTCCATTTACAAATATATTTCCTTAGTATGTGAACTGTATGTCTTAGGGATAAGGAGATTATCTGGTGAGGACTGAAAATAGGACTTTGATAATTTTTGTGTTCAGAGAGCTAAGATGTCATATTCTTATCTTCAGGTTTGGCATCCTTGTTTCAGACATGGTTGATGTGGATTTTTATGCAGAAATTTTGAACAAATTCTCAAAAAATAAGCAAGTTTCTTTTTTTCTTAATCCAATTGAGAATAAGCTGCCTTTAAAGATGTTTTACTAAACAATATTACAAATTCATCCACATTAAACTTAATTGCATTTTAATATTTAACACTAAATCCTGAAGAGTTGTTGTTTCACATGGGAGGTGTTGGGCATTGAACCCAGGAGCCTCACCTATGTTAATAAGCAAGCATTCTACCACCAATCTGCATCCCCAACACTAAAGGAGATGTTTTAAAAGTATTATATACATTTAATTTATGTAATTCGGTGTTTTTTATTTCATTTTCACTTTAATTTGATTTTATCTACCCAAGAGGTAACTTTTCACTTCAGGTCCTTTAAGAATGCTTTTCTGACTGATAATTTACAACCAAATTAAATTTTGTGTTTCTTATAATTGAAATCCCACATATGGTAGGACCCATATACTTTAGTATGCATTAAGTAGAAAAAAGTACATTTTGACTCATCCGTTATGTTTTTGTGGTGATTTTAGTTGACCATGGATAGAAATTTCTCCATAAGCTATAACTGCTTATGCTACATTTAATATAATGATTGTTACTGTGTTCAGTTATGGTTTGTATTCAACAGTCAATTATAATTTACTTGGGATCAAATGATATGGTTTTTGAAGCATTTTTACAAATATAGCATCCCATGTAAATGTAAGTGGATTTAATCTAAGATTTTAAGAGAGGTCAAGGTTTTTTTTTTTTTTTGAGAGAGAGACAGAGAATTTTTTAAAAAAATATTTATTTTTTTAGTTTTCGGCGGACACAACATCTTTGTTTGTATGTGGTGCTGAGGATCGAACCCGGGCCGCACGCACGCCAGGCGAGCGTGCTACCGCTTGAGCCACATCCCCAGCCCGAGAGGTCAAGTTTTTTTAAAATATATTTGACTATTGACCATAGTCATCCATAACTGGTCACTAAATTTTCCTTTGCCTTTCTAGTCTCTTGGGAAGGCTGTCTTGAAGAAGTTCAGTTAGGAATAAAGATTTTAGTTTTTAAATATGTATAAATACATTTACATTTAATTGGTTTTCCTTTAATTTTGCAATTATATATGGTTATTATAAAATAAGCAATACCTATGTAAAATGCAAAAGTTCCCATAGGTCCTATTCTTTTTATTTAACTTTGTTGCTGTAACCACTTGCATACATTTTGCTTTTCAAGCCAATTTTATGGCTCTTGCTTAATTTTAATAACTATAATCTCACTTTATCACAGCAACCCTATGAAATAGGATGGGAATTATCATGCTATACATGAGAACATAGATAAATTATTTACTCAGAAATAGGAAATGGATCTTCTGGTTGTTTATCCACTGATCTTCCACTAGACCAGTGAGTTTCATTCTTTTCGAGATTGAACACCCCCTTTAAACTTAATGAATTTAAAAAATATTTTTAGGCTTTCCCTAGTCATTATTTTTACTTTCCTTGTTGGTTTTTTTGTTTGTTTATTTTGTTGTTGTTATTTGGTATTGGTGCTGAGGATCAAACCCAGGGCTCAGCAAGCACTTCCCTACTGAGCTAAAGCTATACCTTTAGCCCAACTTCTGCTTTTGGTATCTATTACTTAAGGCGAAAAGGGAGAAATGACAAGAACTTGTTCTATATTTAGTGACTCTTATAAACACTTGCATTTTTAAACCAAAATTCGTTTATCTATATTTCCAAAAAAGTGTTACATATGTATGTACTTATATATTTACTTATTTTACCTACAGGTAATCCTAATGTCCCCTAGGAGTTGCAGTCTCTTACAGTAATATCACTGTTTCCCTGTTGCCAAAGGTTTGAAGCACTTGGGAAGCTTCATTTAGCTTTTAAAATTCATGTTTCCATTGTAAAATGCAGAAATGCCAGACCATAATGTAGTCTCTTATAATCGAAGTACAGGCATAGTTATGTACACTTAAAATTCTATGAATATGGGAATCAAATTTTAACTTTAAAACTTTTTTTTAAACAGATTATTGAAAAGGCAGCTGAGATTGCAAGCAGTGATAGTGCTAATGTAGCAGTAAGTATCAAGAGTTTTAAATGACTGTCTTCTTATAGAATTGTATGCATTATTTTGTACCTTCATCTCATTTATGGTAGTGAACTTGTGGAAGACCGTAACTCATATGCAAGAACAGTATGTGAGTGTGGGTAAGTATGCATATACTGAGTTTTATTAAATGGCAGCTCAGTTTGTGGACCATCTGTGCACAGTTACTAAGCCATTTTGCAATGTAAGTGCAGGTTCAGCCATCTCTAAGGGATGTTGTTGCACCTTGGAGATTAACAGTACTCTTAGTGAATGTTACTCATTTGAACAAGGAGACTGTTTGTTATCTTTGTGAAACAAAGCAAGTGTTATAAGGACAAGAAAGTGGTGTGAAGATCTATATGTCTTCCATTTTGAAATTCTGCCATGTTTAGCATACAGTTCCCATTTCATAATTTAATATTTCTGCTCTAGCTTCCTACTTTGCTATGATACAGGCTTCAGGAACACAAAAGTGAGACTAGAGGCCATGCCCCAGTCTTATTTAGAGGATATTGTTAGTATGTTTTCATTTCTGCTCCCATCTCATTGGCCAGATCTCACAACTATAACCAAACTGCAAGCCAGATTGGGAAATGCAGTCTTTAATTGGGCCATCAGATGCATGGCTAAAAGTAAGCCATCCCATTACAGGAAAAAGTAACAGAATGGATCTTTAAGTTTTTTGACTTTATAACTTAAGACTTTGTTTGAACTCTGTCCTAATATTCACCTTTCTTGGTCTCACATAACAACTTTTAAGTGTCTTCAGCAAAACCATTTTACACATAGAATATTAATGATATAGAGTCTAGGAAGCCAAATAGAGATAATTATGTATGTTTTTCTCATTCTCAGAGTATCAAAGCACTGCTTGATGTTTACTAGTTGGAGGGGTATCTGGCCTAGGCTCTTTTCTGCTTTGCCATGAAATCTCTCAGAATCTCACAGTGCAAGTCCCCTTTTACTACTTCCATATTAATGTCTCTTAGCTTAAATTTTGTCTTTTGAATATTAATGCTTTACCCAGGAAGGTGGATCACGAGTACCAGTTTAGAAAGGCTCTGGGTCAGGTTGGGACTTCAGGATCTGAGTCCTGCCTGCCCCCTCATCTTTTTTCCCCTATCATTTTTGTGTTCTAAGAGTTGCTGGAAAGAAAAACAAAAGCAAAAAAAGAAGGTTAAAGGTAATTCTCATTTAATGTACCAAAAGTTTAATACTGGTATACACTTACCAACTTGTCAGGTAATTATTAAAACAGGTCATTACAGTTTAACTTTAGGTTAAGTCTTGGTTCTAATGCCTCTTTAGTATCCATGTGTTACACTAAATATTGCTCCTTAAACCTCAGAGTATTGAATTAATTTTCACTAGTTCTTCCACAATCTTGTACCTTACTTAATCAGAGGGTTCCCTGAATACTGATTTAGTAATCTTATTCAGATCTTTGGGTGTGTGTGTATGTGTGTGTGTGTGTGTGTATGTATGTGTGTGTGTGTGTGTGTGTGTGTGTATATATATATACACACACACACACACACACACACACACACACAAATAAATAAATTTAGGTACGTAGTACAATTAAGAAATAGACCAAAAATGAAAGTCTCTATCTATAACCTCTGTGTGCTCTTCTCTCCAGAGCTGTATAAAGAGTTAAGTTTGTAGTTACCAATATTAAGTTTAGTGTAAATGTCTTTATTTTCCTCCATTTTAAGAAGTGAGATCATTTTTATATAGTTTTATCTTTTTTATTTAATACACTTTGTGGATATGTTAGCATGAATAGGTCTTCATTTTTCACATACTTCAATATTCTGTAGTTATATTTATTAGTAACCATTAGTTATTCAACATACATATTCCTATTGATGGATGTTTTGCTTATTTTCAGCTTTTCTCTATTAAAACGTCTGCAATGATTATTTTGTACATACTGCTTCATACATCTGTGTATTTTGTAGGATCAATTCCTAGAAGTACTTTCATTATGTTGGTTTTTCTTGACTAGTGAGAGACTTCCTGGTTGTCTGCCTGTAATGTGTCTTAAGTAACTGTAGGAATTAGAGTATCCCAAATGAGAGGACTTCCATGCATTCTGGAATCAATTGACTTCCTAGGGCTCAATACCCATGCTTCTCACCTAAATCTGGGATTGATACCATAGCTGTTCCGTCTTAGCACAGAAAGAGAAAGGAACATGCTTGACTATCTACAGTCCCATAGTGGTCCTCTTTGTGATTGCCAGTGGCTCCCTCCCACTCCTTGAATGCCTTGATTCTGAGCTAGAGCTCCCCAAGGATTGTGTGCATAGCATTCTCACTACTACATGGGTTTAGAATATCTGATCTCTTGTCCTGTCTGCATTCTGCATTCTCTCCTTAAACATTTCTGGTGTCAGGCACTCTTTGTCATTTCCTAGGGCTCTTTTTGGCTATTATTTTCAAAACAACATATTTTATACTTTATGGGTCCTTCCCCAACCCTGGTGCTGAATATAGTCTACAGTTTGTGCTCACTGGGCAAGCACATTACCACTGGCCTACATCCCCAGTGCCACTATTTGGGCTTGTGGATGAGAGGATGAAGAGAACTGTGTTTTCATGGCATTATACACATATGTAGATGTATGTATATATGTGTGTATATATACACACAAACACATATGTATGAAGAGCAGGTTAAGTTCCTTAATAAGATGATGGTAGTTTCATTTATTGAATTATGTATACATATGGTTAATTGGATCTATGCAAATTTATCATCACCTTATTAAGGTATTTAACCTGCTTTTGATCTGCCCCACCTCCCTCCAGGGTCTTTCAGTGTTGTTTGGGTTGATTTCAAACTCCTGGGCTCAGATGATCCTCCTGTTCACCTTCATCCTCTCTGTCTTCTTTTTTTCAGTATATTCTTACAGGGATTGGGAAGGAAAATAAGTTTTTTCCCCCTCAGTTTGGTGTGTGTGTGTGTGTGTGTGTGTGTGTGTGTGCGCGCGCGCGCACGCATTGTGTGGGATTCATTGTTAAATATTTGTACAGGCACACAGTATCATATTTAGTTTTAGCAACAACATTGTTTTGTTTTGGGGAGTTGTTGTGTTGTTGAGGATTGAAACCCAGATCTTACACATAGTTCATATGCACTTTATCACTGAGCTGCACCCAAACCCTAACAGAAAGTTCTTCATTTAAAGAGATTTTGAGCCCAGGTGACATCTATTTATTACTTTTATTTTTTTTACCTTATACATTTGGGTCATCTTAAATTCTGTTCAAATAATGAGTAACTTGGTTTTTAACCGAAATGCACTCCTGCCACCTAGCGTTTGCACATAGATTTTTTTAAAATGTTATTCTTTTTTCCTTTTTTAGAGCTACTTTGATTCTTCATGTTTAGCTTATAAATTTAACATTGAGAAATTAAAACTTTTTAAATGAATCCACTTTTATTTTTTATCCACTTGTATCTTTTTAGGGATTTATGTATTTGTATTTCACGTCATAAGTGCGTATAAACTCGTATATAGAGTTGCTGAATGTTTGCCAGTGATATTTGCATAATTAAATTCTGTAATGAGTATTTTACTCCTGTAGAGTCGAGGTGGAAAAAAGTTTCTTGCTGTACTGAAAGAAATCTTGGACAGGGATCCCTTGTCGCAGCTGTGTGAGAATGAAATGGATCTTATTTGGACTTTGCGTCAAGACTGCAGAGAGAATTTCCCACAGTCACTGCCAAAATTACTCCTATCGATCAAGTGGAATAAACTTGAAGATGTTGCTCAGGTAACAAAACATCATTTCTGTAGCTCCTTTTGGGTGCATATGTTTCTTTGTTAATTTTATATAAAGTGTCCTTTCCTTATAGGTTGATTTCCATATGTTGGATAATTTTCCTCAAGAAAAATTTTGAAGTTTTAAACTTTAAGTCCTCTGGTCCATCCTTATATATTGGACCAGAAAGTTTCAAGGTTTAAAAATCCCAGATTCTAGATAGAGTGCTGTATCTTTCACTAAAGACAACCAAAACATTGGTTTTGGGTAGTCACCTATGAAAAGAAGCACTTTCTAGGTCTTGGGCACCTTTGCCAGTTTCTTCAGTGAACCCCTATGTGTGAATGAATGTATGTATGTATTTTGTGTTGCTGGGGATCAAACCAGAAGTGCTTTACACCTGAGCAATATGCCCAGCCTTTTACTTTTTTTTTCACCCTAAGACAGCGTCTCCATAAATAAAAGCTGTCCTGGAACTTGCAGTCACTGGATTATAGGAATGTACCACCAAATCCAGCTGACTGCTCTAAAATGAATATTGTTTGAAAATTACCACTATCATGGAAGTTAATTTTTAGCTCTATTGTAGAGGTTGATGTTAAACCATTCAATTCAGTCTTAACATTCACATGTATTGGGTAGTATTGATAAATATGTAACTTTAAACATAGATAAATATGTCATTCAGGCAGAATAGAGAAGGGGAAATGTTTTGCTCTTGAAAAGCAGCCGCATTTGGGCTCCCTGATATAATTATCAAGACTGTCAAAAAGTACTCTAAGCTGGGCACGGTTATGTACGCTTATAATCCCAGCTGCACAGGAGTCTGAGACAGGAAGATGGGAGAGTTCAAAGCCAGCCTCAGCAAAAGTGAGGCACTAAGCAATTTAGAGACCGTGTCTCTAAATGAAATACAAAATAGGGCTGGAGATGTGGCTCAGCAGTTAAGTGCCCCTGAATTCAATCCCCAATATCTCCTCCCACAGACAAAAAAGGCACTTTTAAAGTCATATGGCCCCCAATGCTCAATAGAAAGAATCTTGAAGTGATTTTTAAAATCAGAACAAATAAATTTGCCTATTTAAAAAATGAAATTTGTTTATTTTCTTTGAATTTAACTGATTTCTCTAGCTCTGTGATCTCAGTGTATCATAATGGCTTTAAAATTTTAGTGAAAAATACATATACCAAAAAATACAAAAAACACATTTTTGTTTGCTTTAACTAGAGAAAAGAACACAAAATTTATTAAATACCTAAGGAATGGTAGTATTAGATTCCAAAAATTGTATTTTTATTTTAATCATATTATTGGGGGGGAGTCGTTTATGAGAGATTTGTCCCAGGGACAGTTTACTACAGAGCTATATCCCTAGTCCATCCGTCTCCCTCCCTCCCTCCCTCCCTCTCTCCCTTCCTTCCTTCCTTCCTTCCTTTTTTGATACCAGGGATTGAACTCAATGGCATTCAACCATTGAGCCACATCCCCAGCCCTATTTTGTATTTTATTTAAAGACAGGGTTTCACTGAGTTGTTTAGTGCCTCGTTTTTGCTGAAGCTGGCTTTGAACTCGGCATCCTCCTGTCTCAGCCTCCCTCGAGCTGCTGGGATTACAGGCATGCGCCATCACGCCCCTCCCTTCTTTAAATTTTGAGACAGTGTCTCACTAAGTTGCTGAGGCTGGCCTGTAACTTTCTTTCCTCTTGTGAGCTTCCAGAGTCACTAGAGTTACAGGTGTATGCTACCATGCCCAGTTTAATCATATTTATTTTTAAAGTCTTTAGTTTTGTTTTACTACTTTTATTAAACGTGGAAATGTTTTCTTTTCAGTTTACTTCTAACATCTAAAGGTTTTTTTGAATGATATAATTACATTATTGTACATGCCTTTATTAGAGTGTTTCTAGATTAGACAAAATTAACATTATTTAATCTGAAAAGGAACTGTTTTACATTATTTAGATAGCTTTAATTGCTCCAGAATCACTGTTGCCTTCTAACCACTTGTCTAAATTCAAGGCTAATTTTCTTTCTTTTTTTTTTTAATACATATTTTTTTTCAGTTGTCAATAGACCTTTTAAAAAAAAAAATATGTGATGCTGAGAATCAAACCCAGTGCCTCACACATGCTAGGCAAGTGTTCTACCACTGAGCCACAACCCCAGCCCTGAAGGTTAATTTTCTTTGAATCCCATTAATGGTGGAAAATAAGATCTAAGCCTTTTTTTTTTTAAGTTTGCACATTTACTTATGTCTCATAGATAGTGTCTTGAGCTATGTATATATATCCAAGAAATGAATCATTATTTCATTAGAATCACAATAGGAAAAGTTTCTAGTACTCCTTTTTTGTTTGTTTTTGCTTTTTTGATAGTGCTGGGGATGGAACCCAGGACCTTGTATGTGTGCCACTGAGCTACACTCCTAGCTCCTCTTGATGTACTCTTAAGATGTCTTAGAGGTTTCATGTATCAACTGTCAAAAATGAAATGAACTAGTTTATGCTTAGTATTCATTTGACCTCTAGGGACAGAAATTTTTACATTCAGGAATTTAGCATGCTTTTCTGATCCCTAAGAGTAAGTGTGAAGCATTGTTTTGAGGTGTAACTTAAGTTCCTCCCATTTTGGTAGAAGAAAGCCAGCAGTGTAGTTTAATAGTTGAGTATTAACTGTGTGTAAGCAAGTATAGGAAAGCATAATTTTATAACCCTGTGCCCACTTTTAGTAGATAAAAGAGTTAATAGAATAAGAAAGAAAGAGTTTTGGTTCCTTCCCCAACCAAAAGAATATAAACTATTTTCTCAGTAAATCTAACACCTTGAAAAGTG